CCTATGCCATTTCCAATGTGCCTTTTTAGGTTTATTTGCTATATGTAGACCTTCATTTTCTTTAAGTTCCTACAATATATATTATAATATACATCATAATTCTTTCATCATGGCAAAATTTGAACTGGGTCCATCAGATGTGACTGAAGTTATTATTACTCCTTTTTTATGCAATTCATGGATTGCAATGAAGCTTTCTCATATTAAATTAGCTTTTTCTTTTGCAGAAGGTGAAATAATAAAAAAATATCCAGTGGGTATCTTCCAATGTCCAGTATGACAAACAACCATAATGACTAATAATTCAGTTGCTGGTTGTAATTCGTCATTTTCGGTTGGGACACCAAAATTTACATTTGTTTTCCATCAAATTACAAACTTTTTTTAATAGACATCGCATCTAATAGGAGAGAACAAAAAACCTCTTTATTGTTGGACTAAGATTTTTACACTCCTAGCTTAAGAGCATCAAATGCTGCTGAAACAAACCTTGGTTCACAGTTAACTATGATTTCGCAAAAGAATCGAACGATCGATTTACAACACATCTCAGATTTTTTTTTAATTTTAATATTTTGTTTATACATCCAATTTAACACTAAATCTAAAATTTTTTTTTCATCTGACTTAAACTTTAGCTCCTAGAAACCATTTAATTTTGCCTTTCACAAAAAGGCCAAATTCCATTATTTTGGCATACATTTTTTATTAAAATACTGAATGATTTAAAATTTGGCCCATGTATGACCCCTATTAGTACCTACAATTCTGTCAAAAAAAAGTTTTAATTTTTTACATACAGGTGGCGCTGCAATTTTTTTTTCTTCGAAAGTAGACGTTTTTTGAAGACAAAAAATTCTCTTAAGCAACAATGCTCAAAAAAACTAAATAGCGTACCAGATAATATAGATATTCCTTTATAATTCTACATATAAAAATTTACTTGCAAATGATGTTGCCGCCCGTAAATCCAACTTTAAGTTTGGTCTACCGCATTAAAAAAAATTGAATTACACTTTCAACTCTATCCTTATTTTTAAACTAAGGAACTCTAGGTGATGGCTTTTATTGGTAACTAAAACGCAACAAAAAAAGTTTTATTTTTTTATATACAGGGGGCGCTGCAGCCTTTTTTTCAAAAATAGACGTTTATAAAGACCATAAAGTTACTTAAGCAATATTGCTTAAAAAACTAATGACATTATTTATAATGTATCAGATAATATAGATATTCTTTTATTGTTTGACATATAAAAATTTATTTGCAATAATTAATGCCTGTTGTATAGGGACGATTAAAATTATAACTAGTGCACGTACCCGCATATTGTTATATAAACGCCTTTTTTCGCTTTTATTGTTGTATGCGGACAAAAGGTAACAAAAGAAATTTTAATTACAAATGGTAACAAGTATTTCAGTAACTCTATAGTAATAGTAATAGTAAATATATTTTAGTATATTTCGAGAGGCAAAGCATTCTTTATTATCGTACTTTAAAATTAAACTAAAGTCAAGCCTATAGGCTGGGAATCAAGTTACCCTAACAGTTGACAGTTACTGTCAAACGGTAACCATAATAACATTTAAAATTTTGCCGTTATTACAAAAGTTGAAATTGGAGAGGGAAAATATCATGCTTTTAAAGGTACGCAAAGTTAATAAATTTTCTTTAAGTAAATCAAAATTCTAGGAATTGAATTTTCTTCTGGAGTAAACAGTAAGTTCCTTGGACATCATCGAGTCGACAAAAGGAAAATCTAAATAATTTAAAAGCAATTAAATATAGGTGCGACGAATTACTTTGCAGTAGGGTTTTTGAAAATGAAGATGATCTTCTAAACCACCTTAAATTTCAAAATCATAAATTTCCTGAAATTAGACAAACTATAGGTGATGTTGCTAGAATGGAATTTTTAAAACAAAAAGATGTTTTAACTGCAACTAGTTCAACAATGTCTACCGTCAATATATGCCCAAATGAAGAAGATAAAAATACGTTTTTTCGAGTATATGCAAAAGGGTTCGGAAGGCGCAAAATTAAAAAATCACGTTTTAATGAAAAACAAAAAGATTTTGTTGGCAACCTTTTTAAAGAAGGTGAAAAAACTAAAATTAAATATACGCCTGAATATATAGCAACAGCTTTACAAAATTATGAAGTAAATGGCAAATTTTAGTTTTTTTTAAACGAGTTTATGCATTAGGGTGTTTCAAAAAAATCGACTTTTTCTTTTTCTTCAAATGGTCGGCAAATTCTTTCAGAGAATGTCAACACAAAGACCTCGTCAAAATTTGAGCTTTTAATTTGAAGATTTAGAGGTCTCGGATCGCAATTTTCTATTTCCCATTTAAATAACATTTTTTTTTTAACTTTGAAATTTTATACGTCTGAATCGAATCAAATTATGTCAAGGATCATCTTAGATTTTCATAGTAAATTTAACGCTCTACAAAAAAGGTCTCCTATCATTTTTCTATAAATTGATTCCTTCCAGAGTTATTCGAGGCCAAGTTTGATTTCCATCGAATTTTCGCGTTTTTTTAATATTTATGGTACAATTATCATTATACGGTTGTCCCGAAATTAGGGGGCCAAACTTAAACAGTGAATTATTCGTATAAAAATAACACTTTTTTGTTTAATAAACATGTATCAAAAAATGCTCCCTAAAGGAGCTACGGCCCCCTGAATAGGAGCCTAAGAGGATAATTTTTTTTAAACTATTCCTAGAGGGTTGAACATGAACAAATGAATTTTCGGTACTTTGGTAATTTTGACATGCTGAATCTAGATCAATAATCAAAACTGTTAAAATTTAATCATAACATTTGGAGGGGGCAAAGTTACAAAAATAGCCCCAACTTTTTTCTGGGTTAATAATTTAATTTTTTTTATGAAATTATGAGAATTTATAGTTTTTTACGAAAAATAGGTACTCTTGATTTGAATTGCTCAGATGCACCATTTTCGAGAAAAATGCATTTATATATAAATTACTCTGCATATTATACACATCTCATATTTTCATTAAAACTTTGTAGTAGGCTTTGGAAAAAAGTGACGTTTTTTTGTTTTTTAAAGAAAAAGTCGATTTTTTTGAAACACCCTAATATGCATCTTAATCAGATACGCGGCTTATTATCAAGATTATCGTCAGATAGAAGGTTAAGCAAAAATAGAAAAAGAAAATTAAAAAATTTGCCGGAAGAAATTAGCCCAGAAGCGGATGAAGTTTTTTTGAAGTTTTATCAGTTTTAAAGTAGTTCCTTTGCGGCCTAAGTAACTTTTAAGTTATAAATAACCCTGGTTAAAATCTCTAGACTGATTCTGAGAATCGCTCTAAAGATTTAAACCAGCCAGTAGGATATAAACCAGGGTTATTTATAACTAAAAAGTTAGCGAATATACCCCTTAGAGCCCAACAAGTTTAAAATTTAATGTAAAGGTAATAATTATTATTATTATTATAATTATTAGGATATATATTTATTATTTATTATATGCAAATCTTGCAGATAAATTGTTATATGTTAAATAATAAAGAAATAGTAATATCAATAATAATAATAAAGAAAAACATAATAAATAAAATAAAGAACAAACCTATTAAATAAACAATGGAATACGTAACTCTTTATAATAAAGGAATACATAACTATATTATCTGAAATGCTATATAGTTTTTAAAGAAAAAAGGCTGCAGCGCCCCCTGGGTATGAAAAAATAAAACTTTTTTTAGCTGTGTTATTGTTACCAATAAAAGTAATCTCCTGGAACTCCTTAGTTAATAAATAAGAATAAAGTTGTAAGTGTAATTCAATTTTTTTTAATGCGGTAAACAAAACTTTAAGTTGGCTTTACGGGCGGCAACATCATTTGCAAGTAAATTTTTATATATCAAATTATAAAGAAATATGTATATTATCTGGTATACTATTTAGTTTTTTTGAGCATTGTTGCTTAAGAGAGTTTTTGGTCCTCAAAAAAGGTCTATTTTTGAAGAAGAAAAAATTGCAGCGCCACCTATATGTAAAAAATTTAATTTTTTTTTGTAGAATTGTAGGTACTAATAAGGGTCATTTATGGACCACATCTCAAAACATTCAGTATTTTAATAAAAAATGTATGCCAAAATAATGGAATTTGGCCTTTTTGCGAAAGGTAAAATTAAATGGTCTCTGGGAGCCAAAGTTTAGGTCAGATAAAAGAAAAATTTTAGATTTAGGGTGGAATTAGATGTATAAACACAATATTAAAATATAAAAAAAATCTGAGATGTGATATAAAAAAATACCCCAAAATCGTTCGATTCTTTCGCGAAATCATATGGTCATGTTAAAACATTTTGATACCATTTCTTAACCCGTAACCGGTACTGTGGTATCTGGGAGACACTCATCAACGAACAAAGCGCTGTCACACCCTCACCTTTTGTTTTAAAAATCTGTCGCTTCCAATACTTTTAAGTTGAGCAGTTATCAATATGCTCTCAGACTTTGAACAAGTTGGATTGTCAAACGGACAAATTATTACGAGTCAAAGTGTTGAGGTGTCTAGTAGACCACTGAGTACCGTTTACGTAATTTTTATAAAACAATTAATTCCTTATGGATTCGCAACAAGGGCTTTCTAAAAGTGTCCAAAGTGATAAGAAAGGCTTCAAGGAAACTGTAATGTAGTGGTTTTATAAAATCGACAGCGATATAAGTGATATAGATGACTGAAGTATACTACATAACCATTATAGTGATTATAATCACATAAATGTCGTTGAAGATAATCACAGCAGCGATTCAGGACTTGTCTGTGAAGAGTCTATAGAAAATAATTTTATAGGGTCAGATAGAGAAGAATTTGAAATTTTTTAAGAATTTGAAAAAAAAACAAAAAAGTTACTATGGAAAAAATAGTTGTACAAATCAGCTATAGTTTGAAGCAGTTATTTTTGCTGTTAAAAAATGATATATTTGAATTTTTTTTGTTTATGTTATTTTTTAAGGTATATTCTTCGAAATAAAGATCGTTTTATTTTGTTTGGTTTAATATTTTTTATAGTTTAATCACAAAGTTTGCACTACTGCACTTTATGTACATGTTTTGATTAAAACCTATTTGTTTAAATTTTTCTTTTATTTAGGTATTATTTTTGGTGATATTCTAACTTTATATATAGTTCCTTGTATCCCCAAAGCCTCAGATAAAAAAAATAATATAAATTATAATTTTAAAAGGCAGGTGTCTCTCAGACCCCTTAGTACCGTTTATGTCCTGAAAGTCGTACCGTACCGGTTACGGGTTAACTGTGGCCTGATGCGGTAATGCCATTGCAAATTCTATTCTAACCTCTTCATATGCTTTACTGGAATAAAATTGCAAACATTTTATAAACATTTATAAAATTAAATCTATTTTTATTTGTATCATATTTTTATAAACATGTTACATACCTTGAATAAATAAATGCATTTTTCATTTCAAATTTTAAGGTATTTTAATTTAGAATATTGATAAGTCATGTTTAAAATAAATATCTCAAAATAATAGGTACTACGTATTAGGTAGGTATAATTTAATAATATTGACTTCATGATAATTACTAAAACGTTTTTGAGTAGAAATAAAAATAATTTAAATAGGTACTTGATTTAAATTTAAAAATATATAATGTTATATAACACAAACCTTATTAAGATTAATTAATCCATATAGTAGTTTAGGTAACAAATACCTGCTGGGCTGTCAAATTCCAATTGACAAAGGTATTGACAAATTTCAACGCGTTTGCTATGGGAAATAAAAATTATGTTAAAGAGATATAGCAAAATTGTTGGGATAACATTTAGTTTTAAATAAATTTTATTAAAAAATCTCAATGCTTCCCAAGGTGATTTTGCATCCCTTTGTTATGTAAGTATTATAAGATAAAAATAATGAATTATTAAACATTTTCAATTTTCAAATCTTTTTTTTTTCTGTCATGAATAATATCACAATTCAAAGTGATCCTCACATAACCAAGCATGCAAAATTTGGACACAATTCAGGTTTTATGTTGAAAAACTGCTTGTTTTTAGTTTTATCAGAATTATCAACAAAAAAACAACTGCTACAACCAGGAAATTAACAAGAATATTTAAATCTAGCTGTTAAACGTTTTTTGATTTGCTTTCCATTTTAAAAGTAAAATTAATTCCCTTACCAATATTTTTCACTTGTCTCTGCTTGTAGTATGCTAGTATGTACTATATATTTATACCAGCGATATGCACTTCCTTAAATTGTTTCTGTATTTTTTTGGCTAAATTCTAAAGTCGTATTTTGGAATATGAACGATCAATATTTTAACCATGATTTTCATCGCAAGGTGCAGATTCCAAAAAAAATGATTATAAATATCAGTATAATATGTTTGTGCATTAACAATGACAAAAAGTCCTTAGTTTTTTTTCTTTAGGTATTTTGTTATCTGTGGATAGTAGCATATTCTATATGATAATTTCTACTCCTCAACAGATTTCTACCAATCTACATAAAGGAATATGCAAGCCTCCTAAAAATAAAGTATGTATTAGCAAGTATAGACGCGAATTTTTTCTACCATTTTTATTTTTGAAATTCATGTCAATGTTTAGTTTTTTGTTAATTCTTAAATTATTATGGATGCTCCCTTCAGAGTAATGGATTTCACCTTCGAAGAGTTGCGACTACTCGTCATTCATTACATGTAGGAGTGCTTGGACCATACTACAAAGGTTACCCGAAATTAAAGCACGTGGGTCAAAAGGGTAGATAAACAAATTAAAAATGTTGAATAATAAGGATTTGAAGATACTGGGAATCAAGGAAAAGGAGAAACGGTATCTTCGTAATGCCTTCAAGCCAACAAAGCTTTTAGCATAAAAGGCTTATGAAACAATGTCAAGAGGTAAGGCGACGACGTTCCTAAAGAAATTGATGTTAAAGTCGAGGGGGCTGGAGTTGTTCAACCTCTTTGGCTCTGTCCTCTTTTAAATGTTAATTCCAATAACTGTTGGATAACTGCACCATGATGTTGCTTGTGTTTGTGAAGGAATCCAATACTGAAAATTGATTCAGTTTAACTAAACCACTTATAATGTTATAATTATGATCCAACAAAAAATCTGCAGGTTCATAGCTAAACTTCTTATACATGGAGAAATCCACTTCCTCCACAGTTGATTTTACTGAAGTACTGGGTATGGATAATACAGTAGGAACATCAAAAACCTTACAAATTTCTTTTTTCTGAGAAATTTTTGTATGTGATAATAATCTTCTTAAGGATTTTTTAAACTGTAGACAAGTAGGATTATTATTCCATACATTTATACTTCTAAAAACATTGATTAAAAAAATAATATACTTTCAAAATATGTATATTTAACTTATCTTACAGAACAAAAGAATATTTCTAAATGGTCTAGGGATACCTTGTAAGTTAATAAATATTTTAGTTTGCCAGACTTAACAAAATCATCAAAAATTCCACAAGCAGACATAGATGTAATGGAAAAACCAATAAAAGGAGTTTCTTTGGGATAAGCCATAAAAGTCTTTCCCCAACATCTGTACATCTTGATAAATATTGGACTATTTCCATTAAAAAAGGCCTACAAACATTTTCATTTGGAATTCTTAAAGGATATTTAAATCCTTTTGCCTGTGGACTTTGGGAATTTAAAATATCAGAGGCAATTCACTTTTCTGATAAAATTTGTAGTGGCCTCATTTTTTTAAATTCCTGTACACCCATTTTTTTATTAAGAAAATCTAAGGCATCAGCATTTATTACTTATTATTACTTAGCGTTTGCGCTGATAAATGAACTTAAAATTTACTAAATAAAAAAAAACTACCTTCTTTTTTTGCTTATGCCATTCGAAATGTGCCTTTTTAGGTTTATTTGCTATTTGTACACCCTCATTTTATTATGGTTCATATAATTTTGTATGTATGACCAGCAAATATTATTTCCATTAGGATCCTTTATAATTTGTAAACTTGCAAAATTATTTCACCATATGACATGCATCTAATATACAAAACACTTTTTGAGAATTAGCAAAGGGGTGATAAAAACCATGTACATACATCCTAATTCTTTCATCATGTTCATCAGATGTGACTGAAGTTAATATTACTCCTATTTCATGCAATCGAATTAGGCTTTCTCGTTTTAAATTAGCTTTTTCTTTAGCAGAATGTGAAATAATAAAAAAAATAATCCAGTGGGTATCTTTCAATGTCCAGTATGACAAACAATCATAATGACTAATACTTCAGTTGCTGGTTGTAATTCGTTGTTTTCGGTTGGTACACCAAAATTTACATATCCCCACATTTGTTTTTCATCAAATTACAAACTTTTTTTAATAGACATCGCATCTAATAGGAGAGAACAAAAAACCTCTTTATTGTTGGACTGAGATTTTTCTACTTCAAGCTTAAGAGTATCAAATGCTGCTGAAACAAACCTTGCTTCACAGTTAACATTTTGATGCCATTTCCTAACTGTGGCCTGTTGCGGCAATGCCATTGCAAATTCAATTCTAACTTCTTCATATGCTTTACTGGAATAAAATTGCAAAAGTTTTATAAACATTTATAAAATTAAGGTAGTTGTCGTGCTGTAAGCATACCATCAGAAAATTTTAAATTTTTGTATACTTATTAAGGACGTGACAATACAATTATCCTTAAAATGTTAAGTCGATTGACCGTCTATAACCCGAGATAAATTCAATTAAAAATTGGATAATTAACATGGATTGTATACGCTTTCTGTAGTTCTGTACCAGTTTCTTAGTTATAAAAAAAAACTAACTGTCAGAAGCTTTCAAAAAACTAACAGTCTTTTAATTTATTTTTGCTGAGTTTAAAAAAAAAATAATTAAAAAATTTTGACCGTATTGGTTGAGCATAAGCGACGTTGCCGGATTAAAACTTATGAAAATATTTGAAAGTATTACGTAAAGGTAACGTCCAGGGTACAGTCTTGCGAAAAAATTATGAATCACTTAGCTACAAGCTCGTATACATTTACGGTGCGTATAATATAAAAATTTTTGACAATATTGTACCACGACAACTACCTTAAATCTATTTTTATTTGTATCATATTTTTATAAACATGTCTGTAACCTTGAATAAATAAATGCATTTTTCATTTCAAATTTTAAGGTATTTTAATTTAGAATATTGATAAAACATGTTTAAAATAAATATCTCAAAATAATAGGTACTACCTATTAGGTAGGTATAATTTAATGATATTTACTTTATGATAATTATTAAAACGTTTTTCAGTAGAAATAAAAATTATTTAAATACTTGATTTAAATTAAAAAATATATAATTTTATATAACACAAACCTTATTAAGATTAAATCCATATATATAGTACTACTATAGTAGTTTAGGTAACAAAAATACCTGTTGGGCTGTCAAATTCCAATTGGCAAAGGTAGGTATTGACAAATTTCAACGCGTTTGCTCTGGCTTTGTGCATATAGTCCATAAATTGGCACAAGTTCTTTAAATAAATAAAAATTATGTTAAAGAGATATAGCAAAATTGTTGGGAGAACATTTATTATTAAATAACATTTTTTTTAGCAGTACCTATTAATTAATAATATCAAAAACGCTTTTTGTTGAAGCAAGATCACGTTCAAAAATAATTTTTAAGCATGATCACATATGTTTTGGAGACTGAGGTTTGTGAAGATGTTTGACTTAGAAAGGAGAGGATCTAAAGCCTATATTACAGTCTAAAATTCTACGTGCAATACGCAATAATCTTGCACGAAGGCATGCGTAAACCGACGTTTCGTGCAAGTCTATTGCCGTTTCAAAATATAGGTCCTTCTCGATTTTTATTGAAGGGTGCATGCAAGTCTGAGGGAAAAGTTGGTAACTTTTTTATACCAATCCACACTTTCAATTCCCTAGAGACGCTGGTTTGTTTTTTGAAGTCATTTATGTGTTGTTTCTTTGTACTCTTAATTCTATTACATAATATATATTATAATGTCGTGTCGCAGGAGCTAAGTTTAATTTTAATTGTACTTTATAATTTTTTTTTTCGGTTGGTATCATGCAAGTTGAAATTTTAATTGCAAAGGTATTACAGTCAGCAACGAAACTTGCATGCAAGAAAAATGGCTCCAAGAAAGATTGCTGCAAGTAAAATTGCAGACTGTAAAAAGGGCTTAATTTAGCAAAAGCGTGACGAAATATGTTTACAATGGTACTTTGGAAAATCATATTAATGTTTTTTAGCATTATTTTGAATATTTTGTATTCTAGCCATTTTGCTCAAATATCCCTGTAACATACTAATATTAATATACTTTTGTAATCAGAAAAAAGCCTCTTTTAAATTCTGTTGTAAAAAAGGGGGTTACGTATTTATTTTTTTAAGTTGGTAATATCCCCGCAAAATTTGAAATAAACAACTTTTATTAAAATCATTTTTTAATATTTTTGATACTTCAAAAGTTACACTCAATATTCAAAACTTTTGAGCCACCCATTATGAAAGCAAAAAACAAAGCATTAATTTACGATTTGTTTCAATTTCTATAACTAACTAGTACCTACCTTAAAAAACTAAAACACAAACACCACGAAATGGAAACACTCTCAGTTAGAAATGATTTGTATTTGTGTCCCCTCGATTTTTTTTTGTTTCCATTTTTTTATGATTTTTTTTCTTGATTTTTTTTCATACTTCATTCGTCGTTCGAAAGCGGCGACTCTGGTGGCACAAGCGCCGTTAATGTCGCACGTAGTTCCTAAGTAAAAGATTGGATAGAAAAACATTATAAAATTGCTCCCCATAAAAAAGAAGAGTGTACAAAGCAACCCTTACCTCCTGAAATTTCTTCGAACACCTTTTTTTTTTCATATGCTTTGTTGGCTTGAAGGCTCTACGAAGATAACATTTCTCCTTATCCTTTATTCCCAGCATGTTAAAATCGATATAATCTAAACTCTTCAGTTTTCTCACCAACCCTCTTGGCCTACGTGCGGCCAAACTACTCCCTTTAATTTCGGGTAACCTTTTTAAAATGGTCCACGCAGTCCTGCATGTCATGTATTGTTTTACTTCATCTCGAAGCGCCACGGAGACGAGTAGTCGCATCTCTTCGAAGGTGAATTTCTGCATACTTTAAGAATAAAAAAAAAATTTAACATTGACATAAATTAAAAAAATAAAAATGGATAAAACAATTCGCGTCAATAACTAAACTGATAAAAAGGATTTCTTAGATATATTTTATTTTTCTTAAAAATATTTACTTGAATAGAGTTAATTTGATTTGATTTAAAACGAATGTTTTGTGACGAGAATGTTCAATTTCTTTTAAATAGTAAATATATTTCTTGAAAAAATCTCTTGGTTCAAGAATTTTTCTTCACGCATTGCGTTAATTCAAGTAAAATGTTTCTTATTTTCTAAAAATTACCCTTTTCTTGGGACAAGAAAATCAGGGTTTGCAAATTTTACTTGAAGAATATTAAAATGTATTGTTCTTGTATTTGTATTTTTAAAATTGACCGGGGGCCCCTATTTAGCTTCTTTTTTTTTGAAAATCAATGTGCCCAATTTTGGAAAAGTTAGTTATGCTCTAAAAAAATCTTGGCTCAAAAAAAATGTTTAACCGTTTTCTGCCCTCGTCTGTATTTTATGATTTTTATATTTAGGATAGCTCTGAGGCAGCGGAAGGAATTAAAAAAATATTTTTTTTTTCACCAAAATATTTATAAATAAATTTTAAAAATGTTCATATTTCGCTCCAGCCTACTGCGCAACGCTAGTGGGGTCATTATTACAAAGATCCGAGATCACAACTAATATCCAAATCTTTATATAGAAGACAAATAGCTTTGAATAATTTTTTATTATTTTTGTTTGAAAATTACATTCAAAAGCAAGGAAAATGGAAAATTTATTTATTTTTTCAAACTACATCCTCAAAAACCCCTAGAGTGGCATTGGAAAAAATAGAAAACGAAAAAACGCCACTTTTATAATTTCAGAGAATTTGCAGGAATTGTCAGTTTTTAATAAAAAAAGAATAAAATATTAAAAATGACAATAATCGAGATATTTTCGGTTTTTCCGAAAATTAAAAAAAAAACGTTGAAGATTAGTCCAAATAATTTATTTCTATATTTTTTCTGAAAAGTACATTTAAAAATAAAATGTTAAAAATAAAACGCCCTGATAAGTCAACTTTTAAAAAAGCCATAGATATTTGAAAATGAAAAATCTTTTGAGAATATTGAAAAAAATTAGAAATTTTCGAGAATATTGAGAATAAACAAGAAAAATTGACAAAAAACGTTCAATGGCCTAATTCTGCTAGCTTTTAAAAAATTCTCGGTAATTTCTCGTTTATGCTCGTTTTTTTTTCGTTTGTGCTCAATTTGTGTTCTCCAAAAATAAATTCTCGAGCATTTTCCATCTCTAACTAAGTTACATACCTTGGATCTTCTTCTTCTTCTTCTTCTTCTTCTTCGGCTGAAGAAGCGGTGGGTTGGGTTGGGTTTTGAACACTGTAAAAATTAGGGGTAAATTGACATAGAATTTAATAAATAAAATTACAATAATAAATGTGATTTCCCGTAATAACTAAATATTATTGCTTTAAATTTAAAACGTTTTTACCATTTTATGTAAAGCTTGCGCTTAATTTGCGTTCTTGGATCTTCTTCCCTGGTTCTCCTGGTGGAGGAAGATGGCCCCGCTGCTGAAGAGCTCATTACACTGTAAAAATAAAAAAAAATAAAAATGACATCGAGAAAAAAAAAAACGTTGGAGATTAGTCTAAATAATTTATTTCTATATTTACAATTAAAAATAAAAAGTTAAAAAAAGGTCCGGATAAGTCAACTTTTGAAAATAAAAGAGTCATTTTTTTAAGAACATTGTGAAAATGATAAAATCTTTTGAGAATATTGAAACAAATCAGAATATTTTTGAGAATATTGAGAATAAACCAGAAAAATTGACAAAGAACGTTCAATGGCCTAATTCTGCTAGATGTTAAAAAATTCTAGTTATTTTCTCGTTTATGCTCGTTTTTTTGTCGTTTGTGCTCAATTTGTGTTCTTCAAAAATAAATTCTCGAACATTTTCCATCTCTAGTTACATACCTTGGATCTTCTTTCCCGGTTCTTCTGGTGGAAGAAGATGGCCCCGCTGCTGAAGGGCTAATTACACTGTAAAAATAAAAAAAATATTTAAAATGACAATCATTGAGAAATTTTTGTTTTTCCGAAAATTAAAAAAAAAACGTTGAAGATTAGTCTAAATAATTTATTTCTATATTTTTTTCTGAAAAGTTGTTGGTAAATTTAATCTCCCATAACTATTGTAGTTCCAGAGATAATTGCCATTTAATTTCAAAATTATAATTTTTATGACAAAACTTACTAGATTATAAGTAAAAAAAAACTCACTAATAATATGTTTGTCTATAAATAAAAATTTTGGAACTTAATGGTGATCATCTCTGGAACTACAATAATATTATGTATTCTATAATCCATGAGGACCTTTTTGTGGGAATTGAAATTTACTAATTAAATAAGTACCTATATTTTAAAAAATACAAATTATTATATTATTATACAACTTTTGCTGTAGATAAAAAAAAGTTATCACTTTTTTTCTTACTTATGTAATTATTTATTTATTTACTTATGTATTTATTTATTTATTTATTTATTCGTTCTATACTTATGTTATAGCTAGCAAAATAGTTCTAGAAAAGTTTTAATTTTTTTTAAATGACAATTTTAAAATAAAATCGCTATTATCTCCGAAACTGACAAATTTATGCGAACATTGATATGGACCTTTTTGTAGACAATTAAATTTCTTAACAGATTAATTTTACTAACCAAATATACTCACAGGCAAAATAATCGATCCACATAAATTTTCCATTACATTCAATCACATATAACTTTTTTATTTCATTTCGGATTTAAACAAATATTAAAGAATATTGTAGATAAATTAATGGAGAAACGCTCACATTTTAAAAATTACTAAAAAATAGACGTACGTTTATAATATTCAGGTTTAAACAAAAAGATGTTTTTTACCATAAGTTTAAGACACTCTGTAAAGTGGCAAACCCGTATATTGTTCTAAATTAAGTTTTAATTATTAATAGTTTGGTTTTTGATTCACCCTGATATATTAATTTATGTGAAAAATATGGATTTAAAAAAAAACATTGCAATTTTCAATATTTTTTCTGTACGAAGAACTAAGGTTGCTATGGTCCATCCATAGCCTATGGAGGATGACAGTGACAGTTTTGTTGAATCATCCCATACTTGGACATGTCATATACGAAAAGCTATCAAATTGTTTTTTATAAATTAATATGTTAATTTTGAGGTGTCCTCTTACTTTTAAAAATGTATATGTCTCCAACTGATGTTGCCCTTTGTACTTCTTGTGACGTTTAAAACACTTGCCAGGTAATACTGTGATCATCCATCCTGAATTAAACAATTTGATAGCTTTTGAAAGCTGTATATGAGCTGTATATGACATGTCCAAGTATGGGATGATTCAACAAAACTGTCACTGTCATCCTCCATAGGCTATGGATGGACCATAGCAACCTTAGTTCTTCGTACAGAAAAAATATTGAAAATTGCAATGTTTTTTTTTTTAAAAATCCATATTTCCTACATAAATAAATATATCAGGGTGAATCAAAAACAAAACTGTTAAGAATAGATGTGACTCGTTTAATTCCGACATCAAATAAAAAAGTTATTTGCGATTGAAATTCATCGAAAATTTGTGTGGATATAAAATAGTTTTTCTAATAAAAAAAATTACAAATTATAAAGATTTTTCTTGTAGACATAAAAAATTTCTAACAAATTAGGTATATCAAAAAACTTTTTACATTTAAATTTAAGTTTAAAAAAATTACAATTTTTAGATAAAAGGGCAATTATTTCTGAAACTGCCATATTTATGAGAAAATTGATAAGGACATTTTTTTTAGACAATTAAATTTCTTAACGGATAGCGTGACTAAAAAATATTTTGTTACTTTCAATTTTAAGTGCATGTCGCTTTTTTGCACATAATTTTTTTTCAATTCAAAGAATAATATTTTGCTATTACCAAATTAATTTCGAAAAGAGCAGATATCAGACCGACTCAAATTAATAGCCATAGATTAAGTACAGGGTGTCCTGCTGCAAAGTTTGCTTTTAAATATGCTCGTGATGAAGGTCATCCTCGCTGAGAATTTTCTCGGCTCATCATTAGAGATGGGATTTTAGGATGCAAAAAATTATTAAAAACATAGGTACCTAAATAAATATTTTCTTGTTTTATGGACATAATGTACGAAAATAATAATTATTATTAATAATAATTATTACTGGAAAGAATTTAAGTGCAATAGGGAAAATCAAATCAGACTCCAATGAAATCATTTTTATCAAAATGCACCCAAAGTTATGATGAGCGTAGACAAAATTTAATATAGTAATAATAATAAAATTTTATCTCTGCTCGTCACATTAATCAATTTAAACATTTCATTTGATTCGTTTTTAAATTTCTGAAAAAGTCCCTTTTTAACTAAACCACAAACTTTAACAATAACAGTTTATTAATTATTGTCATATTAAAGCCTCATTCAGAACCTCGTAATTAGTGGAATAAATTAGTGGTTTTAATTAACATAAAAGTTTGTCTTGTTTTGTTCACAAGCAAAAAATCAGTGGTAGTACTTTTCAATTAGTGGAAAAAGTTTGCAAACTTCTAACTTTTACCTCTAATTATAATTGGAAAGCGGCTTTGCGCATGTGCGCGGATATTTTATGTCAAAAGCAAAAAGTTTGAAGATTTGCCAGTGAAGGTAAGGTTATATAAATATTATTGTAATGGTTGTAAAAAATATTATTTTAATATAATTAATATTGTTTATGTCAGGTTAAGGTAGTTGTCGTGGTACAATATTGTCAAAAATTTTTAGATTATACGCACCGTAAAAGTATACGAGCTTGTAGCTAAGTGATTCATAATTTGTTCGCAAGACTGTACCCTGGATACGTTACCTTTACGTAATACTTTAAAATAGTTTTAATCCGGCAACGTCGCTTATGCTCAACCAATAGATATAGGTATTGGAGACTGAATCAGTGTTTGAATTTACTGCGGAAATAATAGCTTTGTTCGCGGAGCTCATCCGTGATCAATCCGCGACAACTGCGCATGCGCACTGGCAATTTTAGCGTTCGCGGTGTAAAAATCGGCAACATTTGACATTTGATCACTCGTTCGCGGAGCCTTCGGGACCAGTTTCGAACTAATTACTGACAAGTCAAAACGATCCGAGGATTTTAGCATGTACTAGCTGTCAGACATGCGTATTGTTCATTATTGTTTAAAGTTTATTTTAGGTTATATGTTCTATATTGTTTTTAATTAAATTGTTAAACGAAAACGTAAGTTGAAATACTTATTTTTTACTTGCATTGTTCATTTCCTTGCTTATTTTATAGATGAGTGATCATCTATCATCCAGTGATGAAGATTTAGAAAATAGTTTAGATTTAATTGAAGTTCCTAAAAATACTGCATATTTTGAAGAAATTGTTCCCATGTTCGATGATCAGCTATTTAGGGAGCATTTTCGAGTTAGCAAAGAGATTGTTGATGATTTAGCAGAGCGATTTAGCAATTCTGAATACTATAATTATCAGGAAGAAGATTCCCCAAAAAGTTTTGTCACAAAAAAGCTGACTGATGGTTGCGGTTAGAAACGCGTTCGCGGAGATTTGTTAATTCTTGATCGGTTCCGAATCGCGCATGCGTACCATGGTTCGTGATTATTTACCCTATACAGATACGGAACTAGTCATGGATGGCCTCCGCGAACAAAGCTAATATCTATACTCGCGTACAGCGTTGCCAAGTTGTTTTTATCTGACACTAGTGATGTATACTTTTTACAAATTGTTGAACTTTAAACGGTTATTTATAAACAATTGCACTGAAAAAAAACAATGGTTATCTTAATCGAATATATAGTAACTTTTACTAAATATTCTGATTAGTATAGGCACAGCCATATTTACTGTTATGTTAATCATGTTTATATTGTAACAGTTTTATTGTCACTTTAACTATATTTTTGTTGTTGCACAAAACAATAATTTATTTAGTTATAATAATCATATGCAAATACCTTATAACCCTCTATATGGTTAAATATACTATACGTATGATATGTATAAACTTTCTGTATAGTAAAAACTACAACGACATATTGTTAATAATGTTTGACAACATTATATTGTTATTACAACCATAAGTTATAATTAAATGAACCATATTTTGCATAACAAATCTATATTGTTAGGGATTACAATATATTTTTTTAGAGTGTGGGCGGTCAAAAATTTTTAATTATTTTTTTTAACTCAGCAAAAATACATTAAAACACAATTAGTTTTTTCTGTTTAACTAAGAAACTCGTACAGAACTACAGAAAGCCTATACAATCCATGTTAATTATCCAATTTTTAATTGAATTTATCTCGGGTTATAATCTCTAAAAATGAATTAGTCAAAAATGACTAATTTAATAGTTATTAGTGACTGCTTTTTCACTTGTACCATGGTAACCATTTAATACCCTGGTATCCCAAAATTTAACAGCCAATTTTTATGTAAAATTGTCCCCTGAATCCGAAAATACCATCAAAAATAATGAAAGTGGAGCAGTTTTTGAGATATAGTCAATTCCATATTAAATGGAAAATTGACCATATCTCGAAAACTGTACTATTTTTTTAACTTTTGACGGTATTTTCGGATTCAGGGGACAATTTTACATAAGAATTGTCTATTAAACTTTGAGATACCATGGTATTCCATGTTTAACCATGATACAAGTGAAAAAGCAGCCACTTATACACAGTAAAAAATATGGATCGAGTAAAGTAGCTATAGTGTAGTTGGTAAATATTTTAGAGTTGATATTCAGTGTAAAATGCACCAATTATTTAACTCTATAGCTTAATATTACTCTACATAACTCTATATTACATTATTTTACAGTGTAATAATAACGTAACTCTAAAAATATTATATTTTTTACTCGAATGTCTAATACAATCGCATTAGTGTTAATTTAGACTTTGTAAAAGGTAAAACATTTACACTATAAATTAATATTTTACAACCGCTATTTGCGTTAAAATTTCCCTAGTTTTCCTCTTGCTAGTGTATTATTGTTTTGGATTAGAGTAAAGTAAACAGTAAGCGAGTATATTTTTACACTAAAAAGAGTTAAATCTACACTATTAGGGTTATTATTTGTGGTAGGGATTGCAAAGCGTCTATAAATTTGTGAACTAGTTTAGTGCTGTTTCCAAGGGCTGTTTAATGGTTCGCTTGTGCGTGGGTGCTGCTGCATAATACGTATAAAATAGGTACATTATTTCTTAATATTTATATTAAAGATATTTTATTGTAAAAACTTGAAATGTGATTAGGCATTTTGTCCCAAAACCGATAATAACAGAAACGAGCCAATTATATACAAATACCATTTAAAATGGATGCATTGATTTAAAAGAAACATTTGTTCGAGTTAATTTACATATTTTAATTATACATTGTTTTTATTTTTATGTTAACATTAGTTATATGATTCTTTATTTTTGTTATTTTTCACAAAATATACTTTTGAATTTAAATATATGTTTTTAATTTTCCTCTTTTTATAGCAACTAAGGATAGAGTAATTTGTACTCGATTTGAAGGAACAGTTTACTAATCAGAGTAAAAAAGATTTGCATATTAACTAAAAATAGAGTAGTTTGTTTACTCTAAAAGATTCTAAAGAGTCTAAATGTTATAAAAATAGTGTAAAATAATACTCTAATTAACAAAACTATTTTTCCCGGGTCACTACCCAGAGTACCCTTAACACACAGTAGTGTTAAATTTATGCACTAGTAAATTAAATGTAACACTAAATACCGTTATAATATTTACCCTAGAAATATAAATTATTACACTATCATCAGTGTGAATAAATAACTCTAAAAAAAGTCGTCGCATATAGAATATTTTTAGAGTTTACTAGAGTTAAAAATCTTCACTACTTTTTTTACTGTGTAACTATTAAATTAGTCATTTTTGACTAATTCATTTTTAGAAAGTAGACTTCAAATTTTAAGGATATATGTATTGTCGTCCTTAATAAGTATACAAAAATTTTCTGATGGTATGCTTACAGCACGACAACTGCCTTAAGAAGAATGGACAATCTTTTAGCAAATTCCCTTAATTTAAGATGTAAATTTTGCGCATTGTGAATGATCGTTTTGTGTTAATTATAAGTATAATTGAAACCACTAATTTTTTCCACTAATTACGAGGTTCTGAATAAGGCTTAACTCTTTTATAATAATATAATTTGAAATTCATGTCAATTTGAAAACCTTACCTATCGAAACCATGGTGGAGATGAGAGTGGTTCATCGTATTTTTGCGCGGGACGGTCTCATGGAAGTCAAGTTGTTCCGGGCTTTTGGTTTTGTCTTCGTGAACTAGTTTCCAAAATTATAATAAATAATAAAAAGAAAATTAAATGAAAAAAATACACAGCATTTGTTACAAATTATCACCATACCTACGTTGTTTTTAGAAAAAAAAATGCAGCCTTCTATAGAACTGTTTTTAGAAAAAAAAATAGCATTTAAACTTAATATACCTACCCGTACTCCTGCGAGCAACGCTCAGGATGCTGAAAGATGGCAGGACGCCTGCCCCGTTCCCAGTCGCCAAGCGCACGCTTTCCCCCCTGGCCGGTTTGTAGCTTATAAGAGACGTGAGCGCATGCCTTTTTTTGATGAGACAACGGCGAGCCACGTCAGGTCCGTGAAGATGCTGTTTTCATAATCGAGATTATTGCCGTCAAAGTTGCAAAAATGCGTAAAAAGTTAAACTTCCAATCATAGACAAGGGAAAGGGTGGGTTGGTGGTGGGTTTATGAGACAAAATACGTCGGCACAGACCCAATCTGATTAGATCTGATAAAACATTCAAGCCTGACGTTAATTACGTGAGGTGTTTAGGGGGAAGGGTGTCGAAACATTTTATAAAAGAAAGTCGAAATTAAAGTCTAAATATGAAATAAAAATTTGTATTTAAAATTTACTTGCTGGAACAGAATCGGAACTCATTTAAGTCCGCACACGTCTGGATTTTTTCTACAGCGTGTTAAAAATAGGAAAAAACTTTGTAGTATATAGGGTGTTTCATAATATATGCGCAGGACTTCAGGATGTGATAGCTCATCCAAAAAGATGAAAAAAGTCGCTATTAACCTATGGAAGTTGCAAATCCCCAAGTAGAAGAGGCTGTCCTCAACGAAATTAAAGAAAATCCAAAGACAAGTACCAGAAAAATTGCTCACAGCTTAAACCTACATCACTCGACGGTTTGGGGAATTTTGAAAAGACCTTTTGTATCCCTACCATATCCATATTGCCAAGAGCTTTTCCGCCAAGATTGGCTTTTTGTAGATGGATGCAAGACAAAATAGCTCAAAATTCTCAGTTTGGAGGTGAAGTTCTGTTTACCGATGAAGCATCTTTCTCGAAAATTGTGCATTTTAGAGGGTAAGTTAATAGCGACTTTTCTCATCTTTTTGGATGCGCATATATTATGAAACACCCTGTACAAGTGCATACTAATAAAACTAACTAATGTAATAAACCCATAATAGAATTTGCACTTACATATTGTCCAACAGCCTTCAAAAGGCTTATATGGGCCTCATCTATTTGTGTATTTGGATTTGCCAGAGCCCTTTTTCCCAGCTCTATAACGTTATTCGCACCCAGGAAATCTCCGACCACTTCGTGGTAATGGGCCCATGCCACGTATAAATCGGCCCACCCACGACACAAATTTCGAGCGTGCATAACGTTATAAAGCTCGATCGGATTTTCTTGCAAGTCAATCTGTGAAAAAAAGTATCTTAAGAAATATAAATAATACAATTTTACCCTATATTTTTGAAAACCAGGGTTCTTTCCTTTTTGATTTTTTTAATCGGATTTTTTGATTAAAACAATTCGATTTAACTACTTTACTTTTAACCCCTTAACAGTGTTGCCAGTATTAGTAAAAATAAAGTATCAACCACCCCCACCATACCACCTCTGACAACACTGCCCCTTAATGCATTATAAAATGCATGCACAGTGTGGGCCTTTCCTTCAAAAACCTTTTAATAGAAGGCTTCTATAAACTAGTTTAGCGGTTTTTGCTTAAATTTTATCATTATAACAGCCTGTAATCCTTTTAAATCAGATGATTTAAATCATAACAACCCTGTTAAAAACTGGACTTTAAATTGATTTGTTTCATATTTTATATTGGAAAAACAATATAAAAATAAATTTTGCCTATGGACAGGGAAGACAAATTATAAAATTTACATACATTTTCAGATTTTTCAGCTAATTTAAAAAACAGTTTTTTTTCTTAACACATCACCTCATCCTTTTAAACAATAGACAACTAGAGTGAACTCAATCAGAAAACTTTGGTTAAAATTTAAAAAATGCCTGTACAGGGTGATCCCCTATAATGTCGCCACCCTTTAACTTTTTTAGTTTAAGTCCCAAAAAATTTTAAAGTGTGGTTATGTAGGTACTAAAAAATACTTTTTTCCACGTATTAAAAAAAATTGCAAATTGATCAATATACAGGGAAAAACAAAAAGTTTATTTTTTTTCAATGGGTCACCCTATATATGAATTTATTTTTCGATTCCTTGTAAAATTCTGGGCATAATTCATATAACAAACCATATACCTAAATTTAACCGTTTCTGAAATATTCGCATTCAAAGTGTTACGATTAAATGTTTTTTAAACTGTTAGAAATCAAGAAGCCTCAGTATCCCAAAATTTTTATCGAAAATAAATTACTATAGTTACATTATGTCAATATGTCTTGTTAAATAAGTAAAAATGGCGTACTGAGACAGAGAAAGACAAACTATTTCAACTTTTTATTTGGGTATAATATACCATATAGTATGTTACATGAAATATACTTAAAATTTTACAAAGAATCGAAAAATAAATACATAATTTATGTAACATATAACATAAATAAGGTGATTCATTGAAAAAAAATAAACTTTTTGTTTTCCCTGTATACTGATCAATTTTCTTTATACGTAGAAAAAAAGTATTTTTTAGTACCTACATAACCACATTTTTAATTTTTTTGGGACACTTAAAATAAAAAGTTAAAGGGGGGCGACATTATAGGGGATCACCCTGTACCTATCTGGTGTGATTAGAACTAAAACATCTTTGAATTTGTATTAGTGTGTTAATATTTTTGCATAATGAAACTTTTATTTTGTCTATAGATACATTATTTTTAATAAAATTAAGTATTATTGTGTCATATTTTAGCTTTATTAATGCAATTGAATCTAGAAGAGCTATAGAATATCAAATTTGAGATAAAAAGATTGTACATGGATAAAATTCGACTTAAATAATTTGAGTTATGAAAGTTAGGGAAGTTTCAGTGTATATTTTATTTAATATTATAATTAACTAAAGCTGAATTATAATTTTTTTCTTAAACACTGTTTTATACTTTTTAAAACTTTTCCATTAATTTAAAATTCCCTGACTTTTTCTAATTTTTTAGTGTCAATTTTTAAGGCGTTTTATTGTTTAATACATTGTATAACAAATTGTATCTTTATAACAAAATAGGTATTATGTTACATATAATTTTGATGAGTAATAGAAAAGCAATTTTGCCTGTTTAAGCTAATAATTGTTCACTTACGAATTTGATCCATAGTTTACAAAACCGTCTATCATTAGAGTATCTGGCATCATTCTCAAATTTTCCCAAACAATGTCCTAAAAGTGCAACTAAATTTCCTGTGTGCCCATGTTTCGGATAGCTTTGTTCTACCCAGGAAATATAATGGTAGTAGTTATCTAAGGGATCCTCTCCGTTGTAATTCCTTATAGCACTCTCAATCTCTCTAAAACACCAAAGTACTTACTTTTAGCACCATAAACCAAACACTGCAATAAAAATGTAATTACTCTTTTTGTTTCTCTAACTCAATCTGGAGTTCTATAGAAGGCTGCATTTCTTTACTCAGATCAAAATCCATCACTTAACGTTTTCTTCAGCTGTCCAAAGTACAACACGTATAAATATATTGTTAAACCTATGGTACAACAAATACTACTCTTATTTGAATTAAATTGCCACTGTTCCGAACGATGCGAAAAAACGACCTGTTTTTATTAAATCATTTATTTATTTTATTAAAATGACATACATTAATTTAGAGTTTTTTAAGATACTTTTTCAACATTTAAAACTGAAATTTATTTAATATTTAAACAAACTTAACAATTTAGTGTTGCTAAATTTGCGAAATTAAAATTTTATGACATTTTGTTTTTATCCTCATGCATGCATGCATGCAGTTCTCTAAATAGGTATGTGGTTTTCCCTATGAATGGGTGAGCCATTAAACTAATGGTATCTTGTAATCCGTATTCCTGAATAACAGTTCCTATAATACGTTTAATTTTAGCAGTGGGATTTTAATATTGTAAATAAAATTAAATTAGGCACTTCCCTGCTGTACATTTTTTTTTTATTTTATTTTTTAACCGACCGGTTTCGCCTTACGGCATCATCAGGGTTTCTACAAGAATGGTATAAAGATATATGCTAATATAGAGTCAAAATTATAAAAATATACGTTTAACAGACATTAGAACAAGTATAACATTTATTATGGACATTACAGATATAAATATAATTAAAACACATTCAAATTTTTGTTAATTAAAGCTTGAATAAAAATTAAATATTAAAATTTAGTAAAAGTTAAGGTTATGTTGTTAAAATAAATTTTAATTTTTATTCCAGCTTTAATTAACAAAAATTTTAATGTGTTTTAATTATATTTATATCTGTAATGTCCATAATACATGTTATACTTGTTCTAATGTCTGTTAAACGTATATTTTTATAATTTTGACGTGTAAGTAATATTTTAAATCTCTTTATTAGCATATATCTTTATACCATTCTTGTAGAAACCCTGAAGATGCCGTAAGGCGAAACCGGTCGGTTAATAAAATAAAATAAAAAAAAAAATTACAGCAGGGAAGTGCCTAATTTAATTTTATTTACAATAGTTTCTATAATACCAATACTGCCGTGCTTAATGAAAACGCCGCGGCGTAACCAACAATTTTGCGATTTTTGTTTTACGGCATTTTCTACTAGAACAATTCATCCTGCGTCTATCCCCGGTACTCAAAAAAAACGTATATATATAGATACGGTTTTTTGAGTACCGGGGATAGACGCAGGATGAATTGTTCTAGTAGAAAATGCCGTAAAACATAAATCGCAAAATTGTTGGTTACGGCGTTTTCATTAAGCACGGCAGAATAGGTAGTTAGTGCACAGTGCACTGTGCACTTGGTTTATAACTGTTTACTGTTTTTAAATTAACAAAAAAAGTTATCGCTCCTAATATTGCTCCTCTATTGATATTTATATTAATATTTATTTGATAGAATGTTAGAATGTTATTGCATTAAATACTAATTTGATTTATTTAATAACGTTACTACAGTATGTATACTATGTATACATTTAACGCAATAAATTCTTTGACATTTAGGCAAAATGTTTCCCTATTTTGGTTTAATGGTAATTAATTGAGCAAATAACAATTTAGATTGCTTCAATTTTAATGCATTCAATGACAGCGCTGCTCTTGGTACTATGTTGGATATTTTTATGTGTACAGTTGCGAAATGCGAAAAATGTTTTTATTGGATTTCCTGTTTCAGTACCCTTATTGGCCATAAAAAGTTTGATTAATTCCCAAAATTTTACTTTTCTATCTTGAACGGTTTTGGATATATTAAATAAAAACCATCTTCAGGGGCTCCTCTTTCGGGGGCTGTAGCTCCCTTGAACAGCATTTCTCGACCTTTGTTTAGGAACTTTTTTTCTTATTTTTGTACGTAGAATCTGCTGTTAAAGTATTGCACGCTAATTATGGGACACCCTGTATATATATATATATATTATTTCGTTAAAAACAAAAGCCTTATTTGATATTTATGTTCACCTGTTATAAGCGTTTGTTTTCTTTGGGTTCAATAAATACATTTAAAAAACAAAAAATGTTAAGCATTACGCAACCGATGCGAATGATTCAAAACATGTATGTATCTATTTATCAGTAATAATCCCGCTGTCGGTGTGTTTATACGTTGTTTTGGTTAAGAATATTGTTTCTGAAATTGTTAATAGGTTTAAGTGGTGTTTGAATAAAAGTGTTAATCCTGACAAAGTAACTTTTCTTTATATAAAATAATATAATATTATAACGTCCAAGTTTCGGCAGCATTTTTATGTATAATCCTGTCATCTTTGTCGTTTTTGTCACTTTGTCAGCCATAATTGCAAAACGATCGATAGTTTGACAAGCTTGGAGCGTCTTGATAAGAATATTATTGCAGATTTTTGTGTTTCCTTGCGATATTTTAGTGCGAAAGTGACCTTTTTTTGTCTGGAGATGCAATAACAACTATGGTGACAGGGAAACGGCTTTAAAGGTAAAAATTGTGATTTTGCTTGTTTGAGTTGTTTTTTAATGTTTTTTGTCTTTGTTACAGGTAGGTTCAGTACGGGACTGATTAACTAGGCAATCGGCAACAAAGTAGTAAGTGCTTTAATTATTTTTAGTAATGAGCATTTTTAAGTGATTTTATGTTTTAACTATGGTTTCGCGTAAAAAACGAACAAATTTTAAACATTTGTTTGCAAGTGATGCCAGAATTAAATATATTTTTTTTAACCCTGTTTCTACATTTAAATGGTGCATTTTTTCAACAAAAAAAATTTCATCCATTGACCGCTGTGGTTTTCAGGCCTTAAGTCACTCTACTGTGTTAAAAATAGATAAATTTCGATATTTTGTAATAACATTTTTATTTAAAAACATATCGATTTGAAAAGATAAAATATAGACACTTTTAATGGCAATAAATCCACGTATTTTTTAGATTTTAACATACAGGAGGCGCTGGGGACAATTTAATTTAAAATTTTACCATTTTTTTAGGGTTAAAAAGTCGAAGAAGCAACGTTGTTTTATAATTTTGAGTATATCGCGTTAAAGTATTGATAATTAACTATTATTTGATATATAAACTTCTACATGCAAATTATGTAAGAGAGACATCATTTTTAAGTTAGGCCTTCAAAGGGCATAATACTAACATGTTTTACGTATATCTTCTTTTATCTAGTTTTATAAGATGTTTTGTATATTACATATTATACATTATATATTACATATAATATATTATATATAACATACAATTCTTACAAAACATTAATTTATTAAAATGAATAAACTAAATAATAATTATAGACAGTGTCAGCAATTAAGAAATTATAACCTACTTTAATTTTATTTTATGCTCCACAACCAAGCTTCAATTTATTTTTTCTCGATAAGCAAGCTTCAATTTTAATTCAAAACTGAGGAAAGAAATATTTACCCAATAAATAAATTAGAATAAGGACTTTATTTTTTATGTTGCAATCGGCTATTTAGATATATCTATATTTTTTATTCAGTTGTTTTTCGATACAGGGTGTTTCTGGAGAAACGCAAACGATATGGATTTGAAATTTTAATAGCATATACAATTTGATTTAGACTATACCTAAAGTCAATAATTTTCAAGATATTAATTTTGTTCGTTAAAATTTTGCTAAATGCACGTTAATCAAAAATAGCCTCTAATTATGTATGTTATTATGGTTGGAATTTTCGGAATATTAAAACATTGTTTAAATAATTTAATTTTAAAGGTTTTTTAACAAATACCTTGACAAAAACCCCTTGAAATTAGGCAAACTTTAAACAATAGTAACGTTTTTATTATAAATGTAAAACCCTGTATGTTTTAACATAATCAAATAAAAAAATTAAAGAATCTTTTGATTGGTATTATAATAACTGTTTCCTAAAGTTAAAATTTCAGAGACATTTAACGATTTCTAATATTTTCAATACTATTTTGTATAAAAAAACCTGTGAAATTCTACATGTGGGTTAATGTGACCATGGTTATCCAATCTGTCATTGTTTAAAATTAATTAAAATATTTGATTGAAAAATTAATAATTTGAAAAATATTGACTTTAGGGATAGGATATGGTATAGCCAAATGGCTACATAAAATTCTGAGTAAAATTCTCAGAATTTTATGTAGAATTAAAAAATTTAAAAATATTGTTGTCCTGTTTAAAATAACAAAGTTAAAGACATTTCCGGAAAAATAGGAAGTATTATTTTGTTCAAAATAATTTAGGAAAAAAGTCTAAATCGAATAATTTACGTTATTAAAATTTTAAATCAATGTCTTTCGCGATTCCCCAGAAATGTGTACGTACGTAAAACACCCTCTATATTAAACGTCATTTATGTGTTATACCATACTTAATTATTAATAAAAGATCCACATTTTGTCCAAATTTCAAATCGATACGTTTTGAAATAAAAAAGTTATTAAAAAATGAAATCTTTTCATTTTTAACACATTGAAGAAAAATATAAAAATAAAAACAAAGTTGCCAATGGAAGAGCTACTGCATTTAGATGTAGAAATGAGGTAAAAAAGTTTCAATCGATTTCTTGAACCCTTGCAAATCGACCGTTCGATCCTTTCGCTAAACCGTAGTTAATTTATGTTTGTTATTTTAAACATTTTATTTATTAAATTGTATATTTAAAAAAATCAAGTTTAGCTTAGTTGAATTAACATTTTTAATAAAGAAAATTAAAATATTTAGTTATTTAAATGAACTAATTTAAGTGTTAAAGAGAGTGTATATAATATATATTATGTAATTAAGCAAACAACATACCTATTCATTTTAAGTAAAAACAAACATTTAGTTTGACACAAAAAATGTTGAATTAAAACTTTTTTTCTCTGAGTGTACCTCTATTACACAAATTTTTTGACAGAATTTGAGAACTCTATTCACATAAAGTATATACGAAGTCAATTGAAACAGTACGAAATATAGGGTGCAATCAATAAAGTGCATCACGCATAAGGATTAACTTAAAAACAATGCTTTTTAAGTATTTTTTTAGAATTAACGTGTACTTGATACAGACTTGTCATAAATTAGGCCAATGCTATATTTCCCTAG